GGCCATGACCCTTCACGCTGGCCCAATGTGGATTGGAGGGTATTAACGACTGAAAATGCAGCCGGGACCAGCGGCTTAACGTGCCTTCCGAAGCACGGAGTAGCTCGAGATAATAATTTTTTGGTCACCCATCCCGTGACCGACCCTTACGAAAGTTGCTTAACGATTACGATCGCGGGCCGCGGCGCTTATTATTATTAAATATTTATTTATTTATTCGTTTCTAAATAATATTATTTTATTTAAATAATTCCTTATCGTTATTTTTTCCGTCGCCTTTTTACCAAAATACCTAAACCTTAAATTAATATATGCAGATATTATTACTTTTGATCAATAAATGTTTATGATTAATATCATGCTCTTTGTCGTGACTATTAAAAATATTTGCAATGAAATCGTCATAATATTCAATTAAAAATCTAAAAATATACATATATACAATAGTGTTCGGGCCTAATCTTTTTATCGAAATTATATTTCAGTAGTTTCTTACTTTTTTTGAGTACATTTTCTAAATCGTATGATGGATATTTCAATCCATCCCGAGATTTCACAGCAATCAAAGACGATTTGTGCAATATTTGGATCGCCAAACAATAGTGTTATGCATATTTCACACTTTAATATTCTCGACAATTTTCGACTTACGAAGCCGGCTATGTACGTGACAATGCTTTCTGAAAATTCCGAAAGGTTGTTATTCCAGCATTCAACAAACTCTTCGTATAGCTCGCTGTGATCATCCGGGATATCGACAAGTGATTTTTTGTCCGTTAAATGATTAATAGATGATACTGGATCATTATTACTCGTACAATTTAGTATGTTGACTTTGTGGCGACTGATACATTAGCGACATCTAACTCATCGCCACAACAATCGATAGCGAGAAGACTAGCATCGTCACAGCCATCGATAGCAAGACGAACTGCAATAAGTTTCAACAGCAAGTAACGAGATGGCGCTGTATCAATACAAGCAGCATAAATTAATAACTATAAGGCATATAGAACATAGAAACCTACATCGCACAGAATAAGTTACATTACTAATTAGCATAAATAGAATGTCCAACCTACATCGGTTGGACCGCGGTCCCCGGGCTAACAACACCTAGCTCGGAGGGAGACAATTATTCTTTAGTCTCCCGGCCAGTTGTCTCCATCATCAAGTAGGAACCAACACCTTCAACCTTACGGTTCTTAAAACTTGTTCTAGTGGAATGCAATTACCTACACCCCCATCTCTTATTTCAGCCCTCACTAATAATTTTTTGAAAGCTGCCTTAAATTGTACTGCGTTTGGATTGTTGTTAAATCCACCACGAACTCTAATGGCAGAAAAAAATAATTCCACATGGTCTTGGCTAACTTTGTAAAGAGGTGGAAATTTCATTATTTTTAAATCATCTATTAAGTGCTTATAAAGTTGAATGGCACTGTTCATGTCGACCAAAAGGCTAATAAAGCCTTTTCTTTTAGAATTTATAATTAACTCTCCCGAGGGCAACTTTAAATTTCGAATATAACCAGCAGCTCCTTCAAATAACGCTTTTACCAAACCAATATTTTCTGGGCACAACGCTTTCTTCCAACATTGAGGCCGGATAGAACGACCATTTAATACATCAAATACATCATTTATTATTTTTATAAAATTCTCGGTTCCTTTTGAATCTTTAAATTCTATTAATTTTAATTTCGTTCTGCAAAATTGCAATGCATCTGCTACTGAATTACTAAGTAACTGAGTGGCTAAACGCACTTTTATTTTCTGTTTAGCAAAATACAAATGGGCTGGTGCGTCATTGTATTGTTTTTTTTTTATTTTTAATATGAGGGTAATAAGTTTTCATTATTTTTCCTGCCTACCTTTTTTCCTATCTAAAAACCCCAGACTGATTGACATCCATTACTTGAGAATCAGCAGACACGGTTTCGGGTTGTCTCGAATTCATCATCCAAAAGGTACTATCAGCTGAAATTGTTGAGGAAGAAGAGATAAAGGAAAGGACGGCTGTTATCTAAATCTCAAAACAACATCAGCAACCAGCGCTAGACAGGTCAGTCAGTCAGTCATCTCGTTTTTCCCCACCATGGGCCTTTGTTATTTTAGTTGCCATGTGGAGTCCTTCACGTTCTTGTAACTTTAAAAGGCGTTTTAAAAATATGAAGTCAATTTTCCTATCATTATTATCAACGAAAACTGTTAATTCTCCAAATGCATTTCGAATTAGCTTAATTGCAATGCAAGGATCAATAAAATCAAAAACATTGCTTTGACTGCATTTGAAATTAGTCACATCCTGTTTTTTTAACAATTGACAGCCCAGAGCAGAAAACATTCCAAAATTAGCCGCAGGTCCATCACAAGTCACACTGTGACGGGTTCGGTGCTTGGGTCAATTAATAAGGCTGATTAGCTTGAGTATAGATTTATTAATTATATAAGGGTAAATAAGAAACCCTTGTCGGGCTTCTAGTTAAACTCTTGGATCGTCCAAAATACAGATTGCAATTTAGTACATATGTTATATAATTTGTATCACAATATCACATTCTTTATCACAATCAATAATTTATTTTAAAATTACATAATAAAATTTATACGATTAATACTGTATATTAATTTTCATGTTGTGCATAGAAGAATTTCTTACGAACTGACATCCATAAAGAGTATAATTGATTAGTCAAAATTTTAAATTACGAAAGACGAATAATAAAATGAAATGATGTTGAATTTCAAAAACAAAAAGTTTGCATACTGAAACCTAGGAAAACAAACGGTGGCATGGCACACCGTTACAACACTGGCTACTTTAACACCTATTTCTTCACGTTTCTCCACACAAGTATTTACTAGTAACGAATTTTGTTCTCCAGTCAATGTTGTTATAAAAAAATAGCCGACTGGAAGCTTCCAACTCCCATTAATACAATTTAATAAAAGCACAAGGCATTGGTTTGCCACCTCTATAGTCTATTCAACTTCCTCTGAGACAAAATGTAAACAAACAAACCAATGTTTCTCAAACTTTTTTATTGATGTTGGTATGTAAATAAAATTTGTAAATGGAACAAATTATTGTATGGTAGGTATGCAATACAATAAGTCTATTTCTTTTACAAATAGCAATTGTAAGAGTCACATAATATTATTCACAATCTTCCTCGTCTTCCTCTGAGGAACTAGTCGCACCAACTTCTATCACAAAACGGTCAAACAAATCATCTATGATACCATTAATTTTTAAAAAATGTTGTTCTTCTTTTATGACATGGTCAATGCACTTTAGCACAGTTCCTACTGTTACCCTTTTTAGAGCATCTGTTAAAAAAGATTTTATTTCATTTAACTTAAAACTTAGCAATAACAGAAAACAACAAACTTAACAACTGGAATAAACAAACAACAAGAATTTAACGAAAGCATTTTGCACGAGTCAACGAGTTGATCGAGAGTAAAAATGGCCGGTATAACCCGACTAATTACAAAATTTCACGTTTCTACGTAAAGTATTTGTCTTATCACTACTCCTCAATTTAGTAGTATTATAATACGTCCAATGTTTGGGAACAGCTTTAATTTTAGGTATTTTTAATGTCACTTTCTTTTTTAATTAATTCTAAAAGCATTTATATTTTGACATATTAAAGAACCTTTTTCCAGTTTGTTTACATTTTGTCTCAGAGGAAGATGAATAGACTATGGTGAATCACTGTCGCACTCGGTCCCGAAATTGACTCTTCCATAGTACGTTTTTGTTTGAACATCCCAGCGTGAGTGATTTCCTAATAGCCGTTTCATCTAACACTAAAGCACAAACTATTATTGTATCTGTTAATTGACCTTTTGCTTTGAGGGTTTCAAAAGCCTCTTGACAAAATCCGGGTTCAGCGTTAACATTTTGGTACTACTTTCGTAAAGTTCGTGGATGAGGTAGACATGTGTTATAAGCAGAGGTCGGAATTAGGTAGAGTTATTTATGTACTTGCATCGAAATGTTGATATTAATGTGGACCTTCCCGGGATTTCTTTATTTCTTTCTTTCATTGATGTAAGTTTGGCAACGTCGTGCGTGCAGTAGTTTAAATTGTGTAAAAGTAAATAACTTTTTATTTAAAAAATCACGGGATTTTTCTGCTCTTTAAAATTAATCTCGGGATTTGAGGCATATCCACTTTATTCTTTCGCTGTATGAAATCAGTGTAAGTACATGAATAACTCTACCTAATTCCGACCACTGGTTATAAGTTGAGCGAATAAAACAATAAGCTTTAGGAGAAAAAAAATGCAAGTGTTAAAGCAAATTTTCTAATTTCTTCCGAATATTGTTTTTGTAAAGCACAACCTTTCACTTTATTTATTTGGCTTTTGAGAAAGTCTTTAGGTCACATAATTCTTCTAAAACTAATATATTTTCCTTATTAACTAAATTGCGTTCTTATAAATCTTCCTTAATATTTTGGAAAGTGGCTAGCTTTTTGTTTTGTCTGCGAATTTTTTGTTTTAATCTATTGATAATTTTTTTGCGGTTTTCTGACGTCTCTTTAAGTTTTTTAATTTGTTGTTTCTGAAAAAAAAAATATTTGATATAAAAGATAACATACATAACTGCATAGATATGGTATATGTATATATGTATTTTTAATGAATACCTATTAACATATTACTAATTTTAGAAAAAGGAAAACATTTGTGTCTTCCATGAGAAAGTTTCATGGTATAGATATTATTTTATTCAAACGCAATATATAATAAAATATAGTCAAAACTAAAATAAATCAGAAAAAACTAAATTCGTTAATAATTGAGCAAGTTACAGATGATTAAAAACTACACGCGTAGTTTATATGGTGCTACCACGAGTCAGCATCGTACAACGCCACCTAGTAATGAGCAGACGAAACATAGCACTGCTGCTCTAAGTAATACTATATAACATAACATAACTTCATTGCACCATAGATATTTGATTAAATCGAAAAACAAAATTAAATATTTACCAATCTGGAATTCCTTTTCTCTAGGAACGCCACACTAGAAGTTGATGGTGTTGCTTCTGGTTCACTATGTCTAAAAGTAAAACCACCATGTGAAGTTTGCTGAAAAGAAAAAATATGTTTATAGCTAGGTACTTAATTTCAAATCATTTAACTGATATTACTGTATACTCTATTGGAATTCAATTATAGTCACAAGTCTATTTAACATTACATAGCATATAAATGCAGGTTCAGTTATGTGACAATTTGTTATATCCAAAAATAAATGAGTAAATTATCTACCAACTAGCAGTTTTTTCGCGACTTTAGACCCGTATATACTAGCCTATATCACCCGCGTAAGAAGTAGTTTTCCGTGGGTGAAAGAAAAATCGAACCTGTCGACTCAGAGTCTATTTGATGCAAGCAAACAACAGAAACATTCCTCTTATAATATTAGTGTTAATATGGAAATCCCTTGATATGGCAATAGTAATGGAATGTGGAATGTTACGGCAATGACCAATCTAGATAAGTACCGAATATGGCTATTTTAACTAATTGGCTGCTACACAGTACTTGATTCAATCGAAAACATAATCATTAAATATTTACCAATCTGGAACCACTTTCTTCTACCAATGAAACACTAGAAGTTGATGGTATTGCCTCATTTTTGTTTGAATCTTTATAAGTGAAACCACCATGTGAAATGTGCTGAAAAGGAAATATTGTGAATAGCTAGGTACATTATTTCAAATAATTTAACTGATATTATTATATACTCTACTGTAATTAAATTATGGTCACAAGTCTATTTTTCATTATACATATATCATATAAATACATGTTCAGTTATGTGACAATTTATATCATATCCAATAATAAATGACAAAATTATCTACCAACTAGCAGCTTTTTCACGACTTTAGACCCGTATATACTAGCCTATATCACCTGCGTAAGATGTAGTTTCTGGTGGGTGAAAGAAAAATAGAACCTGTAGACTCAGTCTTTTTGATGCAAACAAACAACAGAAACATTCCTCTTATAATATTAGTGTTAATATGGAAATCCCTTGATATGGCAATAGTAATGGAATGTGGAATGTTACGGCAATGACCAATCTAGATAAGTACCAAATATGACTGTTTTAACTAATCGGCTGCTACACAGCTGATTCAATCGAAAACATAATTATTAAATATTTACCAATCTGGAAGTACTTTCTTTTACCAACGAAACACTAGAAGTTGATGGTATTGCATCATGTTTGTTTGAATCTTTAAAAGTGAAGCCACCTTGGGAAGTTTGCTGAAAAGGAAATATTGTTAAACCAAAACATTCTTCTTATAATATAAGAATTAATATAGAAACCCAATGAAATGTGTAATGTTATAACCAGTGGTCGGAATTAGGTAGAGTTATTCATGTACTTACACTGATTTCATACAGCGAAAGAATAAAGTGGATATGCCTCAAATCCCGAGATTAATTTTAAAGAGCAGAAAAATCCCGTGATTTTTTAAATAAAAAGTTATTTACTTTTACACAATTTAAACTACTGCACGCACAACGTTGCCAAACTTACATCAATGACATCAGATGTCCAAAGTTGCAAAATACCAATTTGTATTGTAAATTAATGTAAACTAATAAAAATTTCATGTTAATTATCTTTGTTTTATTTGTCTATCTCTGACATTGTTATTATTATTTAGTTGTAAGACTGTTGGCCACACAGGATTGTCCATTAGAAATCCCGGGAAGGTCCACATTAATATCAACTTTAATGTGGACCTTCCCTTAAGTACATAAATAACTCTACCTAATTCCGACCTCTGGTTATAACCATTAATAATCGAGACAACTTCCAAATTTGGCTATTTTAACAAGTTGACTGCGACATATTTATTTGACTCTACCAAAAAAATCATTTCATAAAGTATTTACCACTTTGGAAACACATTCTTTTAACAATGAACCATGAGAAGACGATGGTATTGCTTGGCTATGTAAAGTTGGCTGAAAACAAAATATTCTTACAGCTAGGTACCTAATTAAAATTATTTAACTCATTTCATTATTCTACTGGGAGTAAATTGAGGTCAGAATTTTATATTTTAATATTATTTTACATTGCATTCTGTTCTTTTTTTCATTTAAAATAGTCATCATATGACTGCAATACTGTAAATATTATTTTCCAAAATGATTTAAAAATAAAAATATATTTATAGAATAACAAAATGAATATATTAAAAACAGAATAAAGAAAACAGTTAAATCAAATAAAAATTAACGAAGTGTTGTCTATTGACAACAAATTTGTAAAAAAAAGCTACAAAAGCAATTGTCAAAAATTCTTACCAGTGTATATTTGATTGGCAATGCATCATCTTGTAATTTTATTATATTTAAAGTTCGATTAAAAGAATTTTCCGTAAAATGTAATGAGCAGATAAAAGTGACTTTTTCATTATGTTTAATATTTTCTGCTCCAATGGTACTCAGCCATTTTTCTCTTTTTCTTTCATCTTTTGGTAATCTAAAATGATGAATATATTCTTGAATAATAAAATTATCGATATAAACCAAATGTTAAAGTAACAACACTAGCAATGTAAACAACATTATTTACAGACCGAAACATTATAAAAATATTAACCAAAAGAGTAATAGAACATGCCGAAACACGATATGTATCGATTTATACACGCAAACGTTTTCAGAATAACTTACTAACGTTTTAAATACTGTTTTTCCAAGAAAGTGTATAACTTACCGGTGAAATGTAATATTGCTCGGTTTGCGGTATTTCGACGACGCACAACCAATTACACTGCACCTAGGCATTGTTTTGAATAAATAATTTTCAATTTTCTGGCATGAAAGTTTTATAGAATAAAGTTATAAATGAAAATAACCACTAAACTTATAACACTGACACCTGAACTGTAATACTTGCGAGAATACCATACATTAATATCTGCAACTTTGCAAATGGCGGACAGGTGGTACGATCGCCAGTGTGACCAGATTATTTTTTACGAAAATACCGAAGCACCTCAAAAAAATACTGAAATATACCAACTTGAACAGGGAAAGTATACCAATAAAAATACTGATTTTAAAATTTTAAAGTTTAATCAATCATCACAATAAATGTTAGAATTGTATTTTAACATTCTATTTGAGGGATTAAAATTAACACAACCTCCTTGATCTTTTACACCTTGCTTTGTATGTAAAATTGCTAATACATTTTTGTTTATAAATCTGTTTCTTTGTTCCGTTTTTATTAAATTTATCTGTGAAAATATGCGCTCGCATGCAGCATTCGATACCGGTATACATAACAGAGATTTACTGAATGCAGTTAAATTTTTGTACTTGAACGTGCCATCACTATTAGAAATTTTGCCAACTTCCACCCAAAATTGTTCACAAGAAAAGGGTGAGCCAGAACTCGAAGATTGTAACAAATCACTTACTTCGTGATCAAGTTTAAGGGTTCATTATTCTTCATCAATTAACTGCATTTGTTCTGGCTGTACTTCGTATGGGAAAGTTTCTATTATATTTCTTAAATTGCGAAATTCTTTATTCACGGCAGTGTGTGGGTCGAGAAATTTCAGTTCTCGGAAAATTTTATTATCAAATTTAATTGTGTGCTCAAATCAATTAAAAAAGATTGGCACCTTCTGAAAAAATCAGCAATTTGTTCTTTCATGTTTATGTTTTCCCTGTGTTTGATTAATTCTTGACCCACTCGGATCCCTAAGTACATATCATTTAATGGCAAATAATTTATACTAGACTTTGGGTCTAACGTAAATACGTTGTCCGTGATTTTGATATAATTAGTTTTCATGAAGCAACCCAAAATCGACAAGTACATACTAGATGCATCATCGTATAATTTTTCAATGCACGGATAGTCGCCTTGAAAAATTATGTTAAATTTGTTAACAATCGGCAAAATGTAATCTAAAAAGTAGAAGTACAATTTGTTTATATCACTGGTAAAAAAATTATATATCATTTCTGATGACAGAATGCGATCACTCAAGTATTGGTCTTGAAAGAACAACTGCAGTGCCCTCCATTGCTCAATTATTCTACTAACACAAGCATGAAGCGATAGCCACCTTATATCATAATGACGTAATAGTCTATGGTTTTCAGTGTCAGTGAAATTTTGGAACTCAGCAAATTCTCTTTGACGCTTGCTGCTTTGAGAAAAATATCCATATACTTCTTTTATCATCTGTTCTAAATTTCTAGGCAGTATTTTGCAAGCATGGCTAACACTTAATGCTGCAGAGTGACAAACACATTTTATGAAAAAGCACTTTGGGTTCACTTCTTTAATTTTTGCAAAAATGCCAGAATGTTGACCAAACATCACATTCGTAGTATCAGCAGCGAATCCCAACACATCTTTTATATCTAAACCTAATTCGGATAACTTTGATGACAAAGCATTAAATAAATGATCTGCGGTCTCACCACTTAAATCAACTAAATCAAGGAATTTGGTTTTTACTGTACATTCGGTTTCAGAGAAGTATTTGATTCCTATCGCCAATACTTTGACTGTGGCAACATCTGTACTTTCGTCAATTACAATTGAATAAACTGGTTTACCTGACGGAGATGCAGTAGGAAGTATGTCTACAATCATATCTTTTTCAAATTCGGGTCCTAAAACGTTATAAGTTATAGCGGCTGCTTTGGTCCTCTTGCAGGAAAATTCTTTCGCAATTTCGGAGTCGGGAAAACACTTTACTAGAATTTCACTAAGATGGTCCATAGCTCTAAAAGGGATGTTGTGTTCTGCAAAAAAACTGCAAAAACAGAGTTCAGCTTTCTTGACTTCGTCTTTCAGTAGTACCTTTCTAAAAAATTTATCAACCTGTGGAAACAAATAAAAAAATTGTTAGCATAGACCACCCACTAATAAAAACATCTCCAGAACAACAACAACAGAACTTCTTGACTTTAGCTACAGTAATGCTATATATATCAATGTATGCTTACCTTTGACTGTCCTTTATATTTTTTAAAGTTCGATTTATGCTTTTCACTATTTGCATGTTGTTTTATAGATGCTAATCTACTTTGGAGTTTCTCACTGCATGCTTTGCAAAAGGCGGCGTACTCGTCATCTTTATAACGTGAAAGCCACGAAGAAAACTCCGGAATTTGTTCCCACTTAGCCAAATAACTTTGCTGAAAACTAGACATTTCGTTCCGGATGGATGCGTCAAGTAAAATAAAAACAAAAGGAAAGCCCTCTATTTATATGATGACAAAAACGTACTACAAAGGGGAAATTCCCGATTTATCGAAAGAATAACTTCAAAGATTAAGTTAAGTGCAGAACAGAAACTCATTTTATTTAAACCGTATTAGATGATTCGATACTATTCATAATTTTACTTCGGCGGACGCTTGCCATGTCCTATCTATAACTTACTGATCTTTGCTCCCGAATGAAATAATAGACTAAGTCCGGGAAATTCCCTGGCAGAAATTCGCGGAGACGTTCGCTATGGTGTTGCCATAACTTTTTATCCAAAATATACCAAAAAATACTGACTTCCGCCAATATACCTACAAAAATACTGATGCTTGGAAAAGTCGATAAAATATACCGAAAAAGTATTAAAATACTGAATATGGTCATACTGACGATCGCTACTACGGATCGCTATATGTCATGACGTCACGTAAAAAAAATTGAACTGTCATACTAGTGCCCTCTATGTTTACTAATGAAAATTCTTATAAGTTGAAAAAAGACAACATGATGTTTTCGATGTCAACTTAAGATTGCATGATTTTTATATAACCATAGAAATTATTTCCACTCTGCCTTATCTCTATGACAATAAACCAATCGCGTAGGTGTCCAGTGATGTATGACATTTCCACACGCCCCTCACCCCTGTCAGTAGATGGAGACATGACACCTGATCTCACCTGATAGAAACTGTCATTACAACAAAGAGTAAATATACTAATGTTTTAATTAATCTTTCATTCATTTCATTTTCATTTTACATGTAGGAATTAATTTATTCACTTGACATTGGCAAAATTGTGTGAAATTCGCAGATATGCCATTAATAAAAGAAGAAGAAGACTAAGGGTATGTTCCGATATACACTGCGACCACTGAACAGTATGACGTCAATTTAGTATACTGGAAGCCCGTTCCTTTATAGCTAGTTATACTGGTGACTTTTTAAAATGGAACGCAATCCAGTATACTGTTAATCCTATTTTTTGGCGCCATTTTCAAATTTGTTAATGCAAGGTGAATATAAATATAAAAATTCCCTCTTTTCAAAAGAAAATTGGAAAATTGTATAAAAAAAATATTTATCAATTAAATCCATCTTATAAATAAACGTAAGTATTTTTTTTTGTTTTTTTAGAAACTTATCATTTTCTGATTCTGTTTCGACTGATCACGTGATCAAAAGCACTGCGAGCACCTTACCTCGAAATCTCCAGTGCTCACAGTACAAATATGGCGGCAATTTATGACGTCATAAATTTCCCTAGGGTACTGTAGCAGTGTACGTACTGGCAGTCCATAACGGAACGGATTTTTCCGATATACAGGTTCCGATATACAGTGCTCGCAGTGTATATCGGAACATACCCTGAAAGTATGTAGTTGGTATGTAGCTAGCTACATATCAGGGAATAGGGTATTTGACACTATCGAAAATAAGTTGTATTTTGTAAGATAGATAATAATCTAATAAAGCTTATTTCTTAACACCTGTAGAAAAAATATGTTTAGATTTAGTAAAATAATGTAAAGAAAATGCAATATTTTTAGGAATTTATTCAACAACGAAAACGTCTTATAATTGGTCGTCATCACAACCAATCACGATTCTGTTTACTGGCCTGTGACGTCATCAGCTGTCATGTCAAAGTAGTGTTAGAAAGATACATAAAATATCGATGCCTGTAGGTATCGAGTACTTTTTAGTAATTTACTGATAACAGAATACTTTGCCGCTTCTATTGATAAGAAATGCCAATAAGAAATACAGAAAAAAAGAATCATTTACTAAGCTTTTTAAAAAATCCAAGAAATAGGGAAAACGCCATCAATTTAAAAAAAGAGCAACTTACATATTTTCTCATTTCTTGAACTTTACTATAATAATTCAAAATTACAAAGTCGATTTTGATGATATATAGTGTTCTCTAAGTTAAAAACTAATTTAAAAAAATCATCGGTATCTGATATCTAATTATCAAATACCATGCATTTAGTGGACAGACATACTACATGCATGTATAAAAAAAATAGAATATTCTTTTTCGTACTAATGTCTCATCCATCTGTAGGTCTACAGGCTGTAAAGTGCGAGCCCTGTCAACAAATATAAACAAGTCGTAAAATTTTAATGACAAAGAAAAAAAACAAAAAGAAAACCTTTAAATGTATCGATATGAAATAAAAAAGTTTCAATACTTTTAGCGAATCCTTACCTAATTTTATCAACCATCTCTACTCTATATAGCTACTATACTATTGTGATTGTGAATCTATTTTCTTCTAGACTCGAAGTTTGCTTATTATTTATAGAAGTGTTAGTACATTGTGGCACTACGCACCAATTGAAAATAAAAAACGTAAAAAATACGCACTACGACTTCAATTTGTCTATTAAATTATTATTTCATTTTACTCTAGGGATGATCGATATTTATCCATGTTGAATAAACATCGATATTTTGTCATCGATGTTTTAAATTGGATAACATCGGCACATCGATGTTTTCGTGTCAAACATCGATGTTTATGAATAAAATGTCAAGATACCCTTTAGGCCATCTAACGTGCTCCAGATTTACAAGCTAGATGATCTCGTATATCAAGTTCAACTATTTTATACTAGATGTCACCGGTTGCACTCGTAACTGGTGTCCGCAAACAAATAGTTTTTTCTTTGCTTGCATTTTCCTAGGAAATTAGAAATAAATCTGTCAACTTCAGCGCTCGTTGGTATCTTATAAGTTACTTTATTCACCGGTCTAAGTTTCAAAGAACCGTACATTAGATAGTTCCACGTGCGAGTGCGGAATCGAAAAAGGTACCACTGATCCCATCCTCTTCAATTGTCTGAAACAACTTTCTTGATATGAGCAACTTCCATCTAAAATCCCCCGTCCCATTAACCTTAATAGGTGTCGAAAAAATGTTGTAGTATTTTTAATGATTTAGTACATCAAATATTAACCGTTTAAAACGTATTTAAAAAAAGAGTCAAGTAGCCTATTGGAAATACCTACACGTCAGATGATTTTTGACTGCGTTTGACATTGACAGTAACATTTAGTTAATGCTGCGTGAATACAAACGCTACGTATTGACGACTATAAAGCCGGCGTTACACATGTATACCTACAAAAAACTATATCTATAGTGTCCTTTTTAGGGAAATTTCAAACACGGATTTGAGCATATTCTTTTTTTTGTGCACAGCCCTTTATAGGACTGTCCCCCGGGTTTAACTTAATTTTTATTCAACAAGAAAAAATATATTTTGAGATTTATTATCAGAAAATGCAATTCACATATGTTTTATTTTGTAATTAATAAATATTTTTTCCATTGATTCGAGCAGAACTAATTTCGTATGTCCCCTCATCAAATACTATGCTTTATTATGAAAAATAATAAATGTTTTTGGTAGAAATCACATAATGTATTTGGCTCATTTTATACTTAAATATCGACAGCAGTTATATATGCTAAAATTTTCTCAATTGTTTACAGATATTTTATTAAAATTAGAAAAATTGACGCGTTTAAATTTCTGTACAATCCGGAACTTTCAGTTTTGCCACCGTATTTTAACTACAAAAGCTCCCCTAATATAAACATTTCTTTTTGAAATGGAAAAATTTAATGCTTCTTGACACAAAAACGTCATTTTGAATTTTGTGTCAAATTAGTGCAGCTTGTAAACAAGACGTGTTAAAGTGACCCTACGGACGAACACATTTTTAACTCAGGTTTGTGTCTTTAATTATTTGTTTTTTAATTGTTCAAAATTTCTATCAATTTTACACGTTATTGTAAATTCAATTTAGTATTCAGTAGTTATAAATTTCAAACACCAGGCACGATTGATAATTTTTAATTTATTTTTTAATGCATGTGGGTAAATATATGTGACTTCCATTTTATGACTATTTTGCTGGTCACATACGGGCTGAACCAAAAGTTACTACATGACTGACCTCATAAAGGTTCGTTCATAAAGACGTTAATTACTTTTTATCAAACTAAATTATGATCTATTTTTGAGTACCTGCCTACTTATTTTTTACTTGTGTAATAAATAGAAATACCTACCATTATCCGGTTTATTAGATAGTTCTAAGATATAAGATACCTAAGGTCAATCGTTAAAAGAAAAAAATATCTCTGAAAATAGTGCCATATAGACAAGCCTTTACTGTTTTCGGAAGTTCAGTTTTGTCACTGTCCCTTAATTTCGAAAGAGAAAAACTAAAATTGTACTATTTATTCTGGTTTAAGGGTATAGTATTAAGTATCACTTAGTGTAAAAATTAATTTTATTAAAATAGATGGTCTTGCAATCGCAAAAAACTTAATATTTTCAAAAACAAATTAAAAAAATTGTAAAAAAAGTATCATTAGTCACAAAACTGATGAACAAAGTACATTTTTTTAGGATTCTTGAATTGAGATATACGTTTTTAAGTTTTTAGTTAATATACATGTCAGATATTTTAAAATAAATAAATATCTTTTAATAACTGCAGTAGTTTTTTTTAATTGGTCTTTACAAATAGTCACATAACGGATAGCACTACACGACTTGTTCCAATTTGTTTAGGTATATCTTTAAATAAAACTTATATTTTGGCGTTTTCTACTATATTTCCATTATTAGATAGTATAACCATTATAAATATATAATAAAGTTTACCTTAAAATATAAAAAATACCGATACATGAGTGATGAGAGTTCGCACAAAAAATAAAATATGCTCATTTGTAGTTCATCACGACATGAGCCAGTTTTTGTACATAAATCAAAGTAAATAAACTTCAATTTCCGTAACCTTTTTGTAGTAAAGTGAGCAGTTGTGGTGTTCTTGAATTTCTGAAGCTTCTTCAAACAGAATCATCAATACGGGATCCTAAAACAAAGAGCATAAACACCAAAAACCTATAAAAG